ACATTTATAAAAATATTTTGAAATGATTGTTGACAATTTTGAATTGTCAGTTTCAACAACATGTTTACTCATCTGGAATAAGTGTTTTGAAATGTAAAAACATAACAATTAATGTTTATAATAAATAGTATTGTTTCTCTGTAAGTAGATAGCACTTTTTCTTTTGTATTGTTGCTCGTTTCAATAAATTAAGTCTGTTCTGATTAGGCTAAAAATGCGTTACATAATGAAACCAGTGCGGTAATGAACTTCATTACGTAACTCAAATGAGTGCGGTAATGATGACTTATCCAAGCAGTCGTAGATAATAGTATATTATTCAACAAGCGTATAATGGCGGCTGTTACCCACGAAGATGAAGTTGCAAGTAATCTGAGTGGGTAACATCCATTATACGCAAGTTGAATACTATACTTTATCTACAACTATTTAATTAAAAAAAAAAAAATCAAAAAAAGGAAAAAAAAAACTTGATAGACATTTCAGACATAACCTCAATATAAGAAAGCTGTCATTTCTGTTAATATTTTATTTTTTTGATTAAGAGGCCGTGTCAGAACTATGGAATAATGGCTTCATTATTCAACACTTTGTGAGTCATGAGTAATGGGTGTCATCACCCGTCAAAAATCAAATGTATAACGAATAGATAATTCAATAGTTGTAGATAAAATAATTTATTCACCTATATATGTATAATAAAAAAAAGATATGGGGCGAGTTTGTAATTTCTTGTGAATGATGCAAATGGGTTAATAAACCTGTCCAATTCGAAAAAACATTCACGAAGTTAACTTGTTGATCGTAAAATTCAACAATGTAGCGTACGGTGTTTCCCAGAAAAAAATCGCGATCAATTTCATTGTAATGACAGGATACGTGTAACGACATCTATAGTCAATTTGCTCGCGCAGTTACCGCTCAATTTTCGCATGAAGCGGTAATTACAGAACGTAATAATTTATCGGAGAATTTACATTAATTACAAGACATGTGTGGTCGAAGAATATTAATCGAGCTCGGGCGTATTATAGCATGTACAGTTACAGCGCTGGTCTGAAATTTCTTATTTATAATGCCACCCTTTAGTTATCTACCTTTTATTACGTTATTTTCATTCCTCTTTACGCTTTCTTGGTCGTCGAGAGCGCGAGCGCGCGCGCTTTGCTCGTCCTTAATGAAATTTCACATTTTTACCAAGTTTTATTAGATAGCAATCTAAGTTTTAATTTCGGCTATTGAAAATATGACGGAAAATTAACGAATTAATGAATTAACGAATTAATTAGTTACGAAAATTACCGAATGTGGTTAATCAAGAAACGATCAAACGCACGCATCAAACTCATTTATCGATATCTTAAAATTTATATTACCGCATTAGCGTTGTTTATACACCGCATCACTTCATCCGTCGTTGTTACGTCTACCGTGTACTTACTTAAACCCCGTAGATACTTGTCACGGTAAGTGATGATAACCATATCTTGATGGACGAGAATAACAAATTTAGTGTCTTCTGAAAAAGAAAGATAAACCTAAACGTACGATGAAGGATTCGTTCAAGCAACGGCGCAATCTTTAAAGAAATAAACCCATCTTCGTAGAAATAGTTCAAAATTAAAATTCAAAAGTAAATCTTAATAATGCTCAATAATCTTATCTGATGTTGTGGAAATCTTGTAAGTAGTATTAATTAAGTAAGTCCTACGAAAGCTTTTATAAAAGCTTATATCTTAAATTAAAGCTTATACTTTAATCAATAAAGTTTATTTATGAAATTGAAGAATATCAATATTTAATGACAACAAAAAGCGAAAATATTTGTTAAAGTTTAAACAATCGCACCAACCTTGTTTATAGGAATTAAGAAACAACTTTTATCTTAAATTAAAGCTTAAACTTTGATCTTCATTACCATATAATAAACATAATACGTTTCATAATAAAGTTTGTTTGTAAAATCGAAAAATGCCAATGCTTAATTACAGCAAAAATCGAAAATATTTGTTAAACTTTAAAAAATTATACCAACTTTATTTATAGGAATTAAGAAACGACTTTTATCTTAAATTAAAGCTTATACTTTAATTTTCATTTCTATGTATTATAAGTAATACGTTTTATAATAAAGTTTGTTTATGAAATTGAAGAATATCAATATTTAATGACAACAA